CATGTTTTGTGGGGCTTCTTATTATCATTTGCAATTTGGGCCTTTTTGATGAGCCAATAAAGAGTACGAGTATGTTTATAAGTAGTTTTGGGTAGGCGAAATACACGCATATGTATTTACATTGCGTTGATAAAATTTTTTTACTGACGAACACTAACTATCTTATCAAGCGATCTCCACTTGATACCCAATGCACTTGAAGGAATTACAAGGCGGTTTTTCCAAGTGTTAGGTTCTTTAAATCGATGGTTAAAAAAAAATATTTTAAGGTGTATGAAAAATTTAACTAAGAAGTGCTTTTTTGTCTGCTCCATCACTCGTAAATACCAATATAGATGAACTTTTAAAAAGCTGTAAGAAAAATCACCAGTCAAGACAACATCAATTCGTAAACAAAGCCTTTTATGAAAATTACGAAGACAATATAAATAAAGAACGCTGAAAAATTAAGGAAATGTTGAAGTTATATCAATTTGAAATGTGGGAACAGTTATTGAAAGTGGGAACAGTTTTTAAAACATAAACCTTTTCAAAATAGAGCAAATTCTGAAAAAGTACAAATTGCGTGAAAAGTAGTAGGAATAGTTTTTAAATTGAGAATAATGAATTTTCTAGCTCTTTCAGCAAAAGGTAGAGAATTTTGAAAGAAGAACCCAACAGAACATCTTGTTTTTTTTAAATAAATACAAATTCTGAAGATATATTTCAACTTATATTCTTTCTTACCATTTTTGCAGTGTAACCCAACATGCCTAATGATCACCAAGTCATAGACTCAAAAAAAAGTAAGTCACACGTAAAGGCAAATTGCGCGACCGCCGATAAGACGATCGAGTTGACGGATCAACCAAATAAGAGCACAAATAGACGCAGACATATTCATTCTCATTGTCTCTGCGTGGAAGCAAAGAGGCCAATCAGGGATCATATTAAAGCATTAAGACAGCAAAGCATGAAGGGTGAAGGGTGTCGGAATATTATGAACGAAAATGCGGGTTAACCATCCGGCAGTTAACTAAACTTCACGATCATGATAGTAGCAGCGGAAAAAAGTTCAACAAGCAACTGAGCAGAGAGTTAAGTTGAGTTGAGACACCTCGTACATGCGGGTAAGTATGACTGTGCGACATTAAACGCCGACAAAGTTGGTTGCTTTTATGGGAGCGTCAAGAGGAGCAGCACTAGCGGTGGCGGCGGTGGGGACGTAGTGAGTAGTAATCGTAGTGATTCTGAAATAAATTACTTGAAAGTAGCGCATACACGTTCAGTCACCAAACGACCCTGCGACGCGCATCGCTAAACACGCACAGATCATGCGGAGCTAGCGAACGAACCAAAACGATAAGTTTGAAAATATTCTTTTTCGGCTAAAATTAACTACATATAGATCGCAAGTTTAAATTTACATCAACTTCAAATTAATTGTGGTGAGAAACGAACATTTACAAAGTGGGTGATTCATTATTTTGGACGAGCCTAAAAAGCTTATAAAAAAAACAAAACTACGTCACAGCTAAAACATTTTAGGTGCTACAATCCAAGTGATCTATGACATATAACCCCACTGACACGAAAGGCGCTTTCTGGAAGAGACTTCTAATACGCAGCTTGCCAGCTCTCGATTATTGCTTTCATTGCCTCTACCGCCACTGCAAATGCAATCCATAGCAATGAAAGGCAGCGCACTCACCGTCGAAGATCGTCGATTGTTACGTTGCATCCTGCTCGATCTGATTGTTATGGTGGTGCTCACAATACCAACTATCATATGCGAATTTGTTATACAACCCACCCGCCGCGGCTTCTTCTGCAGCGATGAGACGATACGTTATCCTTTTCAATCCAATACCATTACAGCGGTTATTCTCGCCGTTTTCATCATAGTCCTGCCGGCCTTTGTGGTTATCGTTGTAGAGTTTACGCGATTCTACCGACGTGGTCGCGTCACCGAAACGCGACTTCTTTTTGGTTGGAAAGTACCCATATGGATTGTGGAATGCCTGAAATATACCGTTCACTTTGCTTTCGGCGCAACCCTCACCCTGGCTGCCACAGAGTTGGGCAAGTATACAATTGGACGACTGCGACCTCATTTCATAGCTGTGTGTCAGCCGCAGCTGGCGGATGGCAGTAGCTGTGATGCGCCACAGAATATACATCGCTACATTGAGAACTACATTTGTGTAGGTAGCGGTTATGCAGCAAGTGAAGTGCGTGAGGCGAGGCTCTCCTTTCCCAGCGGCCACTCGAGCTTGTGCTTCTTCGCCATGACTTATCTTTGCATCTACCTGCAGCACAAACTCACCTGGAATGCCTCCAAGTTTGCGCGCAACTCTCTACAATTCTCTCTGCTCATGTTAGCCTCGTTCACCGCGTTGACGCGCATAATGGACAACTGGCATCATTGGTCTGATGTGCTTGTCGGCTGCCTGCTCGGCTTGGCAATTGCGGTGATCACTGCGATTTACCTCACCAAGGATTTTAGCACGCCATTGGAGCGATTACACGTAAACTTGCCGCGTCAGGACACAAGCACGACACTTGATGAGATCGCCGTCACGCCACCACCGTACACGATGCGAAATGGTGTAGGAAATGTGGCGCCGTCGCTGGATAGGAATAGCGCGGGTGGCTTCGGCAGCGAACAGTTTAACTCGAAGGTGTGAATGGTGATAAGTGAAAAAAATTAGTTTTATTAAAGTACCGGTATAATGGAATCAATGTAAAACCAAGAACACTTAAAATAAGGAAATAATTATAGAAATCGTGATAAAGTTTAAGTAACTGATATCAAATTAAAAACTTTACTGATAGGGACAGTCTGAAAAGTGAGAACATTTTTTGGGTTAAAATTTTTTTTTAAATTCGGTTATTTCGGTCGTTCGATCAGAAGTTATAACTTGTGGACTGTAAAATTCACGTACATACAATTTAAAAAAGATAACCAAGCATGATTGAGTGAAAAATGGTTCTAAAAAAAAGTAAAAAAATTGTATTTAAATAGTAATAAAAAATAAGAATCTTTTAAAAAAATTTAATAAAAGTAAAAACCATGCCGAATTTTAAAACCAAGGTAGCTCCGCTGAAATACATAAATAGTTGAAAAGTATGCCAAAGAAGCCGCAAAGGTGCGGAAAGTATTAAATGGAAGCAGTTTATGTTCTTTCACACACACACAAATCAATCAATTGTTTATTGCGTTTTTTGCAATGTTTATTAAACTATGGCCACAAGATATTTATTTAAATAGCAACTGTTACATTTTATTTCAACTTTTATACAATATTGTATTTTTTCGAAAAAAGCTCTTTTATGTAATAAATAGTATTAAATAGATTTTTAGCTACATTTACCCAAAATCGGTTGTGTAAAACTAGAGACCAGTGAGATATTTATAATTTAAATTGCATAAGTAAATATGTATTTAATATTGAGGTTAAATGTCGTGCAGCTTTATATAAGTTCCTTATCTTTAAGTTTATTAAAAATAAAAGTATTAAAAATTTTAAAACAAACAAACATAAATTTTTGTGTAATTTTTCATCACGTTACACTTGCGGTTGCTGTTCTGCAATCTACGGTTATGTGTATATGTACATAGGTGCGCCTATATGCAAATATAAATCATGAAATATGTACATACCTACGTATGTATATATATACATATAGTGCAAAAGTACTAAAACGTTAATAATTTAATTTTTTATGGAATTTAAAATGAGCAGGAAATTATAAAAATAAATTTACCTACAAAGTGTACAAATATCAAAATAAAAAACAAATTTGTCATTCCATGCATTCTTCGTTGGCGCACGCTTAGCAACTTCGTTACGTTGCTTTTTTATCGAAAGATGCTCGCAGGTGAATCATACCGATTATAATTGTACACACATTTGTAAATACATTCCGATGCGCGTCATGCTACTGTTGGGTAAACTGCTAACGTAAATGTATGCGTATGTACTTATAAGGGTGAGTACCTGGATGACAGTGTTGCCACACAAAAATTGCCAAATTCCTCAAAAAACAAATGAAAAAAGCTCAAAATCCGAACAAATGACTAAAATTTTTCTTATTACAGATTTGATTATTATGTACAGGTACTTACTACTAAAAAAATTAATTACATTCTCCAATTCAATTGGTACATTTGTTCTTGCGGCTCAAACAAAGTATCACCGTTATATTTATGCCTTGCTTTTTATATAATATTGCTGCAACTATATCAGTGCTCAATCTGTTCTCCAGTCAGGCCTACACATTTTTAAACTAGTAAATATACGTTCTACTAAAGCATTAGAAAAAATATATATTTTTTTTTTAATTTGGAAACTTATAAAACTTTTTTCCTAAAATTTTCTGGATCTAATGAAGAATCATCCTTTTGATCGAACAATGCGTGTTCTCTCCATTCGATATCGAGATTTTGAAGTTTAAAATAAGTTGAAAATATAACGATTGATTTTCTGGCCGCCATGTTGACGCAAGAGAGAAAAATCGAAGAAAACCAAACTCTTTTACATTGTAAACCGGAAGAAAACTAAAATTCTTTACTTGAACGAGTCATATTTGCATGGTGTATGGCGAAATGCGAAAAGTAGGTTTGAAGAATGTTAGACAAGCCGCTTGTATGGTGGATTTCACTCCTTGTAAAACTTCGAAAGGCTTTTTGTTCAAAAATTTTCAGAGCGATCTAACAACTCTATTGTGTAAAACATGGTTGCATTTGTTATCTGCAAATATATCGAGAGAAAATTCTTCAAAATAAAAATCTTCAAAAAATACTCAAGCGCACCGAAAATTCCTCACGTTTTGAGGAATTACTCACAAAGTGGCAACACTGCTGGATGAAACTACATGAGAAAAAAAAGTAACTTGTTATAAACTAGTTCGATTGGAATCTTGAAGATCATAATTTTCGAAGCCAGAAATCAGCCTTGTTTATTTAAATATACGTATGATTCCAAGTTGGTGTCTATGGAGCTAGAATAAACTGTGGTACTCAAAAAAAAAAAAATGATTTTTTTATTTGTACGAGTTTGGTCAAAAATTTCTTTCTAATTTTTAGTTTCAATCTTTCAGAAACGCCCTATTTCAGAATTTGGTTAAAAAAACGCCCTGTTTTCGAATTTGATTGAAAAACGCCCTATCTCAGAATTCAGTTCAAAAACGCCCTATCACAGTTGCCGATTGAAAAACGCCATATCTCAGCGCATTTTTAATGTAGTATCGTTTGAGATGGGGTGTTTTTGAACTGGATACCGATATAGGTTTATCTTCCACTCAGCCATCGTTATGTTTGGTATAGGAAATTCACAACTAGTGAGAAGCTAGTAAATTTTAAGGTGGCCCATGGTCATTCCAGATTTAATGTTTCAACAATCTTTTACTAATATAGTCCCCATTCAGGCCTTATGAAACTAGTCAAAACAAAGCCACTTTACATAGGTGTTGTCCTCGCTTGTGAGAGAATATACTAGAAAGAATAAAAATTTTTATGTTTGGAGATTTCATAATCCTCGCGTTGAGTATATATGTAACTAAATGTGTATGAATGTATGTATCATCAAGCAGTTTCCTGCTTATTTATTTCTTATTTCTTATTGTATTTACCTTCGCACGAGTACATTTGTTATGCAGATTCCTCCATATCCAAGCCTTCTACCTTTTTACTGATTTAACCAGTGTGTTACCTGATAGATTTTCAAAGGATATCTATGTACTATGTATATAAGGCTGACTTTTCAACTGTGTGTAAGTATGTACACTGAGAAAAAAACGCGTTGTAAAAATTAAATTTTTTTGTTTGATTACCGTTTAAAAATGTTCGTATTTAAATCAAATAAAAGGTAATACAAAATGGATTTTTCCGTTAGCATACACTACGTGTAATGGAAAGATACAATTCAATTATGCCCGTATTAAAATGAAGCATTTTTCACTGCACGGATGGCGTTTTGAACGTCTCGGATGCTTTTTCTTTATGTAATTAAGAAAGTATGTGTATACAAAGCATGCACAGCGGTGACAACACATACACACATACATGGTATGACATAATGCACTAATCGCGCGCTGTGATGTTGATTCAAACTCAACATTTGAAAACACAGTTACATGTATGTATGGCTGTAGCTGAGTGTGCAAAGACGCTTGATACAATTGGTTGTTGCCAAGAAGGTCCGGGTTCAGTTACCATCAAACGTAGCATAAAATTAAATTATTATTTTCCTTCTTAATTACGAAAAAGCATCTGTGCACTTCACAACGACATATTTTATAACGCGTACATACTCAAATTTAAAACGAGTTGGGTTGGTGCTCTTTTATATGCGTATTTTTTTTTTAATTTAGCACGTTTTATGTAATTTTAAAATTTGTTTCCCTCAGTGTACAAATGCAAATACAGTTGCGGTCAAAATAATAGCATCAAAATTTTAAATGATGTTGTTAGAAACGTGTATTTATTTAGAATTAATAAATTTCATTCACAATATAGCTCGCTGTATAACAGAAACCACATAAATAAATGTTCCGAAGCTTTACACAAATATTAATCAAACTTACAACAATTTTCAGCAAAATCGCAAACGTTTTATTCACTTACACTTGAATATGTATACTAAAACTGAGTGGGCTACTGCATTTTCTAAAAATTCTGAAAAGTTTGAAATTTTGATGACAATTTTTGAAGTGTAAATAATTTTTGTGAACTTTGTGCAAGCTTTGAAGGCTTGTTTTCAATATGTCAAAGTAAATGATATTTGTCGTCAAATATATGAAAACACATTGTCAAATGGTATTAAAAAGCAATATATGTATCGAGTTATTTCAATCAGGATAAGTCCTTAGTAGTGTATATGCGCTGCTAAACCGGCAATCTGTCTATATTTGGCCCATAATATCATTGGGAAAGGTATAGGTAAAGGAGATAAAGTTGTGTCAAAATATGTCGACAAATTTTGGCGACAAAATATGACATAGTGAAAACTAGCCGAAAAATTATGGCCGAAAAAATTCATGCACCTACATATATACACATAAATTCTAGGCTCTCTGCAGCCAAGGTGATCGGTGGATTTTTTGTCGCGCGGGAAACGCCGTTGAGAGATTCAAGATAAAAATGGGTATAAATTTAGTCGGTGCCAGTAATTTTATCTGCATATTTTTTCAGTCGATTTATTTTCATGCCGTAAAAACACACAAGTAAGAGCAGAGCAATCAGTTGTATGGGAGCTATATGTTATAGTGGTCCAATTTTTCCGGTTCCGACAAATGATTAATAAATTATAAAAATACACTCACCAAATTTCAGTCCGATATCTCGAAAACTGAGGGATTAGATTGCGTTCAAACAAACAGGCGGACATGGCTAAATCGGCTCAGCTCGACGTTCGGATCATATGTATAAGTATACATTTTCATGGGTATATCTCTTCTTATCCTGGTACTTAAAAACATCGGACCAAAGTTATAATAATATTTCATGCTCATGGAAGTTATAAAAATGCACGAACAGGGTTGCCATGTATGAATATAGTACAAAAGTTTGTTTTTAGACAAGAAAGAATAGATTTTTTGAATTAATGCAAGATGTTCATGCAATTTAAATTATATTTTAGTATACCACCCTATTGAAAAAATTCATGAAAAAAATACAATTTTCGTTATGATTTCACCGCTTTTCTGGCTAGGGATGCCAAATGCCCTGAGAAAGATATTTGTTATACAAACTAAATTTGCCAACAAAAAAAATTTATTTTGAGCTTAACTAAGGGCAACGAAAAAATTGGTTAGAAAATCGCAAATATGTACGAAATATTTTATTTGCCACCTTCCGGGGGATTTTTCATCGAGAGAGACAAGTTTCGAACATTCATCAAATAAAGCAACAGGAATGAATTAACTTTGTGCTAGCATATCTACATATGTATTTTTCCAATATATTTTCAATTGAGATAGGGCGTTTTTAAACCAAATCTTAGATAG